GCAGTGAAGCATCAGAGCCGTGTCCAGCTCCTCACCAACACGAATTTGAACTCACACTATTTTTGTTTCACAGTTTTGAAAAGCATATATTGTGCCACCAGTTGTCATATTATTTTTAAATGATGTAACACAGCCATCAAATTAAGTAATGCCTAATGTTTGGGATGTAAACTTAATGTGCTCATTGTTTTCAGATTAAACAAGTAAAATTAATAATAATAATAATAATAATAATAATAATAATAATAATAATAATAATAAATAAGAAAACCTCAAATGGGGGCACCTGTCCCAGAGACCTTGATGACTGTAGACCGTAAAAATCACTTGCCAGAGTCAGAGGTTTCCAAGAGCAACGGGGCTGGCAGGACATGTGCAAGGACAAGTGGCTGTGGTTGTCACGGGCTTCCCTGTACTGTGGACGTAGTAGATCCCGGAAGGGCTTTGGAGGCTGACGACCTGTGTCTGAGTTATTCCCTACCGTGCACTAGATGTGTGCTCTTCGGCACAGCACTGGGCATCTCTGCCTCTCAGTGGTCTCATAGGCAAAATGAGGTCACAATAAAGGATAGTAACATTTACCTTACAGAATTATAAGAATTTAGGGAGGGAATGTGGGTAAAGCACTGACCCCAGTCCAGTGTCTACCAACAAGAGTTCCCTTCCTTTCCAGGGGAGTTCTTCCATCACTCTGCAGGTTGCAGGCTATGGACCTCCTGGGAGGAGTTAGGGGTCACAACAGGTCTCAGGGAGAAAGAGATACAAAGAACAAAGATACAAAGAACAGCTCTCCGAAGGGCTGAATATCTGAGGCCTCCTCTTTCCCTTCCAGTCAGGGCCGAGAAAAGATGGCTGCCAGGGAGAAGGAAGTTAGGTCATGGCTGGGGCAATTACTGTCAATATCTGCGCAGGGATTTTAATGTTTCAGACTTTGCTACATTTCTGATTTCTGTTTATCGGCAGAAGCACTCCCCGCAAATCATATGGAACCAGCAGAAGTATCATGGCGTTTCAGAACCCTGGTTCTGGGTGCCAGAAAGACCTGCCCTCAGATCCTAGCTCTTCTGCTCACCTTACCAGATGTATAGCTTCAGGCAAATTATTCGTTTTTTCCGAGTCTCTTTTCCACACCTAGAAGATTTACAGTGAAAATTAAATGGTATCTGCCAAGTCTTTAATATAGTGCTTGGTACATGATAAGGGTAAAGTATATTTTAGTTCTTATAATTATTGGGATGAATATAATAACCCCTATTTTAAAGATGAGTAGTTTGAGGCTCAGAAAGATCAAGATTTATTTAAGTGCAAGGTTTCCTACATGTACCTTTTTTTTTTCAGGTTGGCTGGGACATTAAATTTTTTTTTTTTTTTTCTTTTTTTTTTTTTTTTTTAGTGCCGGGAATTGAACTCAGGACCTTGTGCTTGCCAGGCAGGCGCTTGTGCCACTGGGCTATATCCCTGGCCCCAGCATGTAGCTCTTTCCACTTTGTGAGAACTATTAAGGCTGTTGATCAGTGACTCTTTGAGCCTGGACTGCTTTACCTGCCAAAGATCCAAGCCGAGAACACTGATGTTGTAATAGTGGCCAAGAGTGGGGTCAGGCTTATATTCAGGGTTGTCTATTTCTGGATGAATCCACTCTCCCTGGTAACTGGGATTGTCAATGATCCGAGGTTTCCATTGTCCCTAAGCAAAGAGCCAAAGAGGAATCATGTCAGTACTATTTTTCCATTCTTCTAACTTCATGAAATTAAAAAAGGCCAGTCAATTTATGAAAGCAGTTGTCTGTTAGACATAAGGGTTCAGAGCAAGATCCCTGGAGCTTCTTTCTCTTTCTTTTGAGCTAATGCACAAGACTCTTACAAATTCCCCTTTCTAAGGGAGGTAAATGACATGGTAGTGATAATCCTGAGCCTGGCCCTGGCCCCATTTCTGCAGGAACTGATATATCAAGTTTATTTTTCTTTTTCTTTTTTTTATTTTCTGTCTTTTTGAGACAGGGTCTCGCTATGCAGTTCAGGCTGGCCTTAAGCTCACTTTGTAGCCCAGGCTGGCCTCGAACTCTCAACCATTCTTCTGCCTCAGCCTCCTGAGTGCTGGGATTACAGGCATGTGGCACCACACCCGGCTGATATATCAAGTTTAAAAACAAAATCTAGCTTCTCAGACAACATCATTTACATATTTGGCACCTGGGACCACTCTCTGCCAGGTATAAAATACAGGAAACTGGCCAAATAAAATGCTTATCTCAGTTGCTGGACTACTTGTCAACTGATTCCTTTAGTTTTTGTTTTTTTTTTTTAAACACGGCCTCTCTAAGTTATTAAATTGTCCAATCTGGGCTTGAACTTGTGATCCTCCTGCCTCAGTCTCCCAGAGAGCTGGGATTACAAGTGCGCACCCTGCTCCAGGTTAGCTCTTCTCACTTCTGACCCGAGGTCGGGAGCTGGTGTGTAAGAACGCTAACAACTCTGCCCTCCTAACAACCTGAGTTCATGCCTGGCCTTCCCCTTCCTCCCCAGCCCACTTCCAACACTTTCCGTTCCTGACCTCAGGCTCATGTCCTACGAAGACTGCATTCCTCTGAGTGGCAGTTTTCCACTGCTTTGGTCAGACTCCTTACCTGGAGCTGCCTGAACTTCTACCACAGCCTCTCAGCACCGACTTTCCCAGCCCACCCGACCCCAAGAGGGCGCAGCACAGAGCTCAGCTCAGGTCACAGTCCTATCCGGGATGTGCAGGAAAGGGAAAATGACCACAGTCCTAGAATTACTGTTTTGCTTTTACTTGTGGCACTGGGGATTGAACTCAGGGCCTTGTGCGTGCTAAGGCAAGCACTCCACCACTGAGCCACATCCCCAGCCCCATGTAGTTTGGTTTTCACAATGGGCTTTATCTCACTTCTGCTTTATTTCTCATACCCACCCGAAAGAGAGACCCCCTCACCTTATACTTCAGGTTTGGGATCAGGGGTCCTTCCCACTCTCCATCTATCGCTTCGTTCCAGTCGTCCGGCTTTTTGGCTTCTGGGTCTGGGATGAACTCAAAGTCCTCCCAATCCTACAATGACATGTTCCTTCATGAGGACAGACGTGTGGTCTCGGATGAATCTGGGGTCCCACTTGCAGTCGGGGGGAGCTGGCTCTGGACCCCAGTGCCCTCCTGCACATCTGTATGAGGGCCCAGGAGAGGACTTTACAAAGTCCCATCTCAGCAGGAACCAGCCTCGGGGCAATTCTGGTCCCCTGTGGGTTCAGTATCGCTCCGACTTGAAGCTCAAATGAACTAGGGATGTCCCCTGTCTCTGACCTCACCCTGCCCAGTCACGTATCCTGCTGTGGTTTGGATGTCGTTTGTTCCTAGTGAAATGTAATTGCCAGTGTAAGGGTATCAAGGGTTGTTGACATTCCTGAGACAGATTAGCGAGGCGAGGTTCTATCAAGACCTTAGCAATGGGGTAGAATACTACCTGCCAGTTGCAGGAAACAGCCCTGCCTAGCTAATCCAGTTCTTCCTACTGCTGGAACCAGCCCTAACTGCATGAGGTGCACGGTCTGCACCAGAAGGGAGGGTCTATGGTGAGTCTTGCCGTCCGATCCTGCCTGCAGGATCTTCACCCTTATTTCTCTATGGTGCTGGAGGCCTGGAAACCTGCTTTCATTCCTGGACCACGCTTCCCTCCCCTCGAGTTGGGGCCCTTTTCCCACTCTCTCCACCCAAGGCTGGGCCACTACCCGCCATTCTGCAGACCCATCTTTGGGACTGGGCCAGCTGCACGTTCCTGTGCTGCCCTGCCTGACCCCAGTATCTCCTCTGCACCAGGCTGACCCTGCTCCAACCTGGGGAAAGTAGCAGGACAGGTGAGACCCTCACGGTTTGGTTCCAACAGGCCTTTCTAATCTCTTCTCCTGCCGCGCCCCATCTTTAACTTTATGCTCCCCAAACATTGAACTGTTGCTTTCAGTTCCTTTTACAGCCATGTTACTTCCACAAACTGTCGCATCTTTGCTTCAGAATGCCTTCCCTTCAACTCAGTGTCCATTTTCCTTGTTGTGATGAATGTTTTACTTGAAACCCAGTAAATTATTACCATACACATGTCATGTGTTGACAACTTGCTGGGCTGGGGATTTAGCTCAGTGGCCCAGTGCCCGCCTGGCAAGTGAGGTCCTGAGCTTGATTCCAGGTGCCGAAGAAAAAAGAACTGGCTGTGTACCAGACACTATATTGTATATACAGGGGAACCTATGCTTGCAAATCAGTTGCAGCCAGAATCACGGAAAAACTTCATGACCCCAAGGTACCCCTGTGTCTAGCTCATTTCATCTTCACCACCTTCACACATAGGCATTATAATAATCCTTGTGTAAAAGCTTCCCAGCTCCTACATTAATCCAATCATCTCAGCATTGTTTCTTCTTTCCCATGTCACCATCTAAAACCCACCCTAGGCTGGCTTTGGGTTCTCGTGGGTTTTGACTTCCCTGGCTTTCAGCACCAGAGAAATCAGTGTCATCTTTGTTTTCTTATCTGCCTGCCCCGCTATACTCTGAGTCCCTAGCGGATGAAGATTGTCCTGCTCATAGCTGTATCCAGAACAGTTTTCTAGAATGGAAACAAAGCAATTGATATACATCACATACTCTCCATATCAGTAACTTTAGAGGCAAAGAGACACAGGTTCAAATCTTGGCACCTATATGTGTGTGCTTGGGCCAGTCACTTTCTTTTTTTTTTTTTTCTTTTCATTTATTTATTTTTTGAGACAGGGTCTTGCTATGTAATCCAGGTTGGCCTTGAACTCACTATGTAGCCCAGGCTGGCCTTGAACTTGTGACGATCCTCCTGCCTCAGCTTCCTGAGTGTTAGGATGACAGGCATGTGCCACCACACCTGGGAGTCACTTTCTTTTCTTTCCTTTTTTTTTATTAGTCACTTTAATTTCTAAATGCTAAATTTCTTCATCCATAAAAGAGAAGTACCAACACACTGCTCACAGAGGTCATCAGAAGGATCGATAGATCCTCAACAAATGTGAATTGCTGCTCTCTTCCCTCCAAGTCTCTCTGCCGACCGGTCTTTAGCAGGCGTCTCTTTGAGCGATTCGGCCCCCAGCTCACTGTTTCTAGCCTCCTCCTCCTCTTATCCCTAGAGCCAAGATGCCACCTGCTTCCCAGCCAAACACCCTCTGACCTCAGGTTTCTTATCTTCAGGATCCTCTATTTGAAGACGTTCATCCCATTTCCTTGGTTTCCGGGCATAGGGGTCTTTTATTTTCCTGGGAGGCAAGAAGGCCCAGTCCTCCTCCAGCTCCCCAGCTGTCACCTGCTCATTGTCAATTTTGACCGCATACGTAGCATTGGGGTGAATGATCAAAGTGTACAGGTGAGTGTCTTTGTCGATCTATAGAGGAAATGAGGCAGACATTTCAGTTCTGAATCAGACATCACAAATCTCAAGCATTACATGTTTCCCAGCACACATATTCACAAACACCGCGGGGCGTGGTGGTGCACACCTATAATTCCAGCACTCAGGAGGCTGAAGCAGGAGGATCGCTGCAAGTCTGAGGCCAGCTTGAGCTACAAAGTGCATTCCAGGCCAGCCTGAACTATATAATGAAATTCTATCTCAAAAAAAAGACAAACATTACTTTTACCACATTCTTCCTCCCCTTTCTCTGGTTAATCCGATAGGGATTCTGGGCCTCGTTCTTCTGTTACCCATTCCTCTGGTCTCCCCTAGCTTCCATCTCCCGCAGCTCTGTGGCAGCTTGATCATTCCCTTCTCTTGTCTTTTTTTCTTGAGTCCCACTAGACTGTGAGCTCAACAGCAAATGTCGTTTATGAGTCCATTTTTGCAGCCTGTCCCAGAGGACCTCGGGGAGCCCTGCGCACACAGAGGCCCTGCGTTGTCCTGTATGGGAAGTCCTGCAGTGACCCAGGCCCTGCGCGTTTCTCCAGACTCACTTCCCACCTCCTCTCTGTGTTCCTTGTGCCAATCCCGTCACAGTGCCACTCGCTGTCAAGACTCCTTGGCTTTTCTCACACATTTACCTCTCAAAAGTATTTAATTCTCTGTAAAATTGTCACACCCTCAATAAGACTAAGTCGCACTCATCTTTCAAAACTTAACCTGGAAAAGCAAAAAAAGGCAAAAAAGCAAAACTCAACCTGGAGCTGGGCGTGGTGGTGCACACCTGTAATCCCAGCCCTCGGGAGGCTGAGGCGGGAAGATCGTTGTGAGTTCAAGGCCAGCCTGGGCTACAAAGTGAGCTCAAGACCAGCTTGAACTACATAGCGAGACCCTGTCTCAGAAACACACACACACACACACACATACAACCTCAATCTGGGAGAAACTTTCTCTAAAAATCACTGCCTAAACCTCCAGGTTGGGTGGGGGCCTCCCTTGTACTCTCGCAGACCCTGCTCACAAGCGTCCTTTTCCCTTGCTTGCCTCTGCCTTCGCTGGGTGGTGCAGTCTGTTTATTCAGGGGCCACACTTGGCTGTCTGTCTCTAGCCCCAGACCCAGCATGGGGTTACTGTTTGGTAAGGCCTTTGGATTGCTGGTGAAATCCACGGCTCTCTTCTAGCCAACTTAGGTTACTTTTTTTTTCTCGCTATGCAGTTCAGGCTGGCTTTGAACTCACTATGTAGCCCAGCCTATCCTCAGATTTGAACCAACCCTCCTGCCTCAGCCTCCCGCAAGTGCTGAGATTACAGGTGTGAGACACCCCGCCTGACTTTGACCTATTCTACATCTCTAACCTGTCCCACATCTCTAAGCCCAGCACTCCCCACCTCCCCCATCACCTCCAATGTCCAGCAGGAAGGAACTGAGCTATGCCAAACGTTGAAAATTCATATGACTTCTTTGACTTTTGGATGAGCTGCTCTGTGAACTCCTACAACTTGCGGCACTTCCCTCAGTCCCATTTCTAACTGCACAATTGAGGTGACAGTGTTTACTTTATAGGGTTTGTGTAAGGACTCAGTGAACTAACATATATGAAGTGCTTATTCTTCCTCCCATGCCAGGAGCCAGCCAGCACACTCACCCTGCACTTGATGGTCTTGTTGTTAGCATGGTATTTCCCTTGGTACTGGAGGATGACCTGCACGATGTTATTGCCAAAGCCACAGATGTCAGGGCCTGGAAATTAAACCCCAAAGCATGATTTCATAGCATTTTCAAGCAGTTTGCCCAGTCTGAGGCCAAGACCCAAGACAGAGCCAGCCTGTGTATTAATCAGTGTTCCCAGCAAGATATAATTCAAAGTGAGGATAATTTGAGAAGGATTTAATAAAGGGATTATTTACAAAGGTGAAGGCAGACAGGGAGAAGACAAAAGATACAGTGCTGTGCTCAGGGCTGGCAACAGTAGGGCTAGGGCCCCACAGGGCATGGCCGGAGGAGGGGAGTGGGGAGGAGGAGGAGG